CCTTCCCCCCATGGCCTCCGCAGAACTCTCTTGAGAGCATGGGCACGGGTTTACCAAAGCATGATGAAGAGGACGAGGACATGAGGGAGAAAGAGGTGCAGATGGAGTCCCTGATCTGTGCCTTCGAGACCCTGGGCAAAGCCTGGCCACGGAGCCCGGAGACACAGCGTAAGTCAGCTAATGGTCTGCAGGGCCAGCTTGCTCCGCTCAAACTGTTTCCTCTTAAAATGGAAAGGGGGAGGAGGGAGGGACCTGGAGATGAGTGTGGGGAGCAGGGAGGCTCTTGAGGGGGTGTGAGATCTCGCTGCCTGAAGCTTGCAAGATCTTCGAAACTGCCCCAGTAGCTGTCCCACAACGTAGCCCATCCTTGGCGAAATTCCTTCGCTTCTGTCTTAAATTCACTTCACCAAACTGTTCCGAGTTTGTGGAGACGTGCCGGGTGCCTGAGGTGCCTTGCCGAACCACGAGCGGCTTGGTTCTGCGGCTCACATTTATGTTTTCGTCAAAGCTGGCACGGGGAGCCGGGTGTATCTGAAAAAACCCGGTCTGCTTTGATCAGCATGCCAGGAGGCATAATGGGGCCGTTTATCTTGCCGTGTTTCTTCATGAGAGCCATGGGGTGGCGACTTCCAGGGTCCGTTGCTGCAGGACGTTGACTCGGTTGTACGCGTGATGTTGCACAAGGAACACGTGGGAGACGGAGCAGGGAGTGTTTCCCTCCCTCTTTCCCCGTGGTAACGCGGTGGCATCCTTATTCTTCCGTAGGTTGCTATCGCCAGGAATTCTGCAAGTTGATGTGTGACCGTCTGAAACTCAGCACGTGGAAAGTGCAGCTGGGAGTACTAAAAGCCATGAACACCTACTTTCAAGGGTAAATCTGCATTTCGCTTCGGTGACGTTTCTTTTTGTTGTTGCTGTGGACCGTTTAATGAAGTTGGGTCTGACGCCGGATTCCCGAAGGCAGTCGGGCAGGTTTCTGTCCCAGCGGTACGGGTGTCTGACACTGGGTTTGCGTTTGACAGGCTGATGCTGTTTGACGAGGGGCACTCGGACCCTGTGGCTTTGACGGAAATACTGTTGGAAACCTGTTCGTCTATCACCCATTCTTTAGGTAAATCGACTTTTCCCTGTCTGTGGTCGATGGATTGCTTGTTGACCCTGGGGTTGGCCGCTGGAGGAAGTGCGGAGTGAAGCATAAGCTGTCGGAGGGAAGGCTTTGCCCTTCCCGGCACTCTGCTGTGCTAACTCTGGGGTTGCAGTAGCTGTTACAAGCACGGGCTGCTGCGCACGGGGGGGTGAACTCCTCCGGTGCAAGTCTCGTGCAAGGGGAGGGAGAGGCAGACCGCTGGCTCCGTACAGCCTCTCGGAGTGCAGGTCGGAAGTGATGTCATTTTCTCCATGCAGAAGATGGATCCCTCCTCATCAAGCCATCACTGATTAATGAAACAAGCTTCTCTCCCCCGCGGTTCAGACTTCTTGGATACGTAGGCACTGCAAAGACCCAAAATCTTCTCAGACAGCCGGTGCGTGAAGCTCCCAGGCTCTGAGATGGTTTGTGCTCTACCTGAGCAGAGGTGCCCGTGGGGATGGAAGTCCCACCTATCTCGTGGGGCTGTTGATTTACACCGGTAGTGTTCCCAGTTGTCCTGTGACTGTAACAGTGCCCCGGGTCTCCTCACACCTGCACGTGGCTCTTGTTTCAGGTGTGCCTGCAGGCAGCACCGCACAGCAGAGCTGTGGTGCTGGTAGGGGCGATGCACAAGGTGTAGCCGACTTGTCATCCTCCAGTTGGTCGCTTTCTGCCGTCAGATGTGTCTGACATCCATGTAGGCCGCCAGCACGGATGCGCTCCCCAAGCCAAGCTGGCAGCGGTGGTCTGGAGACCGCGGTGGCGGCTGCTCTTTGTACAGTTGGTGTGCCTTCAGTTCTCAGTGTGGTTGTGCTTTTTCCTTTGTGTTTTTTTTTGTTTAATTCCTTAGAAAACAAAAGCTACACGTCCATAAGAACAGAAGCTTTGTCTGTGATAGAGCTGCTGCTCACCAGACTTCAAGGTGAGACTTCCTGCGAGGCACCCGGCCCTGCGGCCCGGGACCCCGGAGAGATGGCCTTCCGTCTGCTGCCAGCACTGCGTGATTCGGGGCGGTTGGGGCTTGGGGAACTTGGAGAGGGCTTGAAGTAGCTGTGGATAAAGTCCAGGTCTAAAGTACTGTCGGATACTCCCAGGGTGACAAAAAGGTCCTGGCAGGGAAGGTCCCAGGGAGAGCCCAGGACTGAGTGCATGGTCAGGTTCTGCATTACGTGCGTGCCCCACAGAGGGCAGAGCTGTTTCTGCAGAGGAGTAACTTCTACCCTTTCAGTGTAGTTCCTCAGTTTCGGATTTAGCTTTGCAGAATTTACCTCGGAGCCTGAGTCCAGCTGGGTCTGCAGGCAGTGTGTGTCTGCAGTTGGTCTGCAGCAAACGTTTCCTTTGGGTGCCTGTTATGCCTTCCGTGTTTCCTGTGTTCTAGCACAAATCTTCCAATGTTACATGAAGCAGCTGCGAGGTGGGAAACGTTTGGTGCTCCAGGCCCTTGTTTTCACCTTACGGGCTGGGATGACCAAGCCTTAGTCTGAATGGGCCCGACTCCCGGTGCAGGAGGCAGCACGTCCACCTGCGTGTCCCGTGGAACCTCCCAGAGGAGCAGTGCAGACTGCCAGTGAAATGTTGATGCCATCGCTCTTCCAGCCTGTCCGGGGAAGCAGACGGCCGTTGGGGTTGTTTTGGGATTCTGGCACTCATGCCCGGTGTCTCTCTGTATCTGCACAGAATCCCGACAGTGGGGGAGCCTGACGGCGGAGAGCAGGGAGCACCTCGTTCGTTCCCTGTCGACAATGGCGTCGGACACCAGGCCCGAGCTGCAGGAGAAGGCGTTGATATTGAAGAAAACACTTGAAAACCTTGACTAAGCTGTAAAAACACAAACTACAAAGTGCCATGTAAAACAAAACCCAGAAAAGTGCAGTGGTCTGAAAACCAAGTGGGAAAACAAAGATTCCTCTGTAGCATGCATCATTCCTGGCCAAAATAAAAAATGCCTTAAATTTTTTTTCCCCGTTAATTTTATTTTTATTCTTTTACGCTGATGGTTAGTTCCTTTATCAGTAAATACCTCTAACAATCTGCCCTGGAATGTTTGTAAGCATGCAACAAAAAATGTGGAGGGCGAGATGCCTTTTTGTTGTTGTTTTTAAATTTAAATCAGCAAAAGAATGTTACTCAGATCCCCTTTGTCCTTCAGAGGAACTGATGGAAAACCACCAGCGCAGGAAGTGAAAAGCGTATTTGACTTTCACTTGTGTTGTGTGTGGAGATCCGTTACCTGGTGTCTCCCCTTCGGGACGCGGCAGTAGAGCTGGCGTTTGTCATCCGCAGGGAGGGGAACGATTTCCCTGAGGAAGCCGCTCCCCTTCTCGGGGTGGGGGTTTCACCCCCGCTTCTCCCACTTGCTCCCCCCTTGCAGCCTGTTGTCCGTGAGTTACAAAGGCAGAGCACTGTTAACTCCGCTCCTTCCTTCTTCTGACCTCAACACGGATTGGCCGAGCCCATGCCTTCCCCCGCTGGCAGCCTCGGCCTCCCAAACTTTAAACGGGAACTTTTTTTCCTCAAAGGATGCACAAGAGAGCACTTTACCGAGCTGTGTGGGACAAAATTGGGCCTCGTTGGTGCCCAGGAGGAACACTGCTCTTCTGAAAATTGTTTTGCATGGACACTCCTCAGCTGCAGGAAAGAAAGAAATGAGAAAAAGAGAAATAGGAAAACAATCTTTTCTAGGTATGTTTTTGAAGAGTGTTCGAAGTTTGCAATGACACGTTTTGTTTGTTTTCTTTTTAATAGTGGTAATGTTTTATTCCCTTCCTGTCCGTAGCCCTGTTCTTGCTTTCGAAACCTGTTATGATTTAGACTTGTCAATATTTGTAAGAAACCGAACCATCTGTCATTTCTCAGCAGCCCGAGTCTTGCCGGTTTCTAGCAAATACCGTTTAATTTGCACTTGGTAAGAAGGGTTGGAGCTGCATTAACGTGGAGTAAAATTGCTGTATGATGATGTGGCTGTGCTGCCCGACTCCCTCCTTTCTGCCCTCCTCGGACGAAAGGCAAACCCGACCACTACAGCAACGGACTTGTAACAGTGTCAAGTCAGCACCGCACTGCAGTCTGACCACTGCGTGTACAGCTTTTTTGGGGATAAATGCTTTGCTGATGGTGAAACACTCATGGGCGTGGGCAGTACCGCATCCATGGCTTCCAGCGTAGGAAGGCTCGTTTCTTTTCCGGCGGCGTGCAGCCCCTGTCGGATTCGGTCCGCGAGGGAGAGGGCTGCTCAGGCGACCTCGTGTTTCCCCGACGCCCTCGCTGTCCAACCGCTCCCCCTGGACAGGGAGGGGTCCGGCGGCGGGCAGGGCTGCCGCACCGTGGCTGTCCGTCGCAGACACCTCAGCGAGCACTACTGCGCTGTACACGGGGGCTGGTCAGCGGGCAACCCTTGGTGCTGGGAGCTGGTGCTACCACGTTTTCATTTACACCTTGTCGCAGGGAGCTGCTCTTTGTTTACGTGTGGTTGGAACTGTTGAGCACAGAGTACATTTTGGGGTTTTACTGGGCAAATCACTTTGCGGTATCCTTAAAGCCTTGCTTGCCCTGACGCGCAGTGTCACGGGCGCTCTTCTTTTTTTGGTATTAGACGACCGGTGACGCTTTGCTGTAGCCGTTCACTGTCTGACTTGGGGTTTTTTTCACAGCGGTGAGTGACAGTAGCAGAAAAGGAAGAGCCTCCAGGCCTCCGAGTGTCTCACTGTGGACCGGAGTAGTGGGAGGCGATGCCTAATGCGGTCGAATGACCGTCAAGTAGGATAACGGTAACCGTTGTGCATAGCAACCTGAATTTCTCTAATGGGGATTTACACTAGACCCGCAGAGGGTGGGGAGGCACTGGCACAGGTTGCCCAGAG